GAAATAATTAAAAGTAATCCTTGCGTGGGAATCGCCCTTGTTTATACCAATATTGAATCTAATGTCTGGAGAAATAATTAGAGATTCAAAGTTGGTTCCAAATAAAGGGTAAGTTGGTAAGGTATGAGTTGGAGCTTGAATATTGATAAATTTATTGAAGCTGACGATGAGACAAGGTGAAGATTTATTTGACCAGTACTTGGAAGATGTCAACAATTGAGATAGTTCTTGCAGCTTAGAACGGAGAGGATGGTTGGCATATTGAAGGGAGCGAAATATGAATTTATCAGATAAATATTGTCGTCTAAGATGTAATGGGGCTTCAACACATTCTACTTGTAAAGCATTAATTGGACTAGTTTTCATAGCTCCTGTGATTAATCTTAATGCCTTAGACTGTATATTATCTAATTTTTTTAAACGGGTTGCATTTCCAGGAGATAATAAAAAGGTACCATAGTCTAAAATACTTCGGATTAAAGCATTGTACATGAGTTTCATACAAAAGGGATGGGCACCCCACCATACACCGGATAAACATCTAAGAATGTTCAGGTTTCGCTCACACCTATTAAAAATGTAGTCACAATGATTTACACCAGAGAGCTTAGAATCTAAAAACACACCAAGGAACTTCACAGAGTTTTTAACAGGGATAATATTATTATCAAAATACACGTTGATTGGAGGAGGGAGACGCATTCTAGAAAAAAGCATGGCAACACTTTTAGTGGGGGATATTTCAAGGCCATTAGTATCAAGCCAAGTTTTTAATAAATTAAGAGAATGAGACAGTAATGAGCAAGCAATGGCCGGTGATTGATGAATGGAATAAATTAAAAGGTCATCAGCATACTGGAGAATACAAATCCGATTACCCAAAGAAGCTTTCAAATCATGGGTATAAATATTATATAAGATGGGACTTAAGACTGATCCTTGAGGAAGACCTCTCCATAAGGTTCTGGTTACAACAGTGGAGTCTTGTGAAATTAGAGTGATGTGTCTTTCGTATAAAGTATTTATGATAAAATTTGATAACATTACAGGTACATTCAAATACTGTAGCTTTTTATGAAGAACTGACAACACTACATTGTCATAAGCGGATTGTACATCTAAAAATGTGGCAACAACAGAATCGTTCCTTGAAAATGCTAAAAAAATGTCAGTTATAAAGATGGCAATACTGTCCATCGTACTCTTCCCTCGACGGAAACCAAATTGACTGTCACAAAGTAATTTATTGCTTTCTACAAACCATTCAAGACGAGTTTTCACTAAATGTTCACAGAGTTTTATCAAGACCGAGGATAATGCAATAGGACGATATGAATTTGCGTTAGAGGGATTTTTTATTAGATTTTAGAATTGGTATAATGATCTGGTTTTTCCAGCGTGGAGGGATAGAACCGGTTAACATAAGTGTATTTATCAATTTCAGGAAATATTCAAGAGTTTGGTCACCTAAATGAGAGATGAAGGAATATGGGATTCCATCGTCACCAGGAGCAGAGTCTATAACTGAAGATAGTATTCCTTTAATTTCATACATAGAAAATGGACTATTGAGACCAGAGGGGTTCAATGGCATCAGAGGTATAATTATTGTTTCAGGAACTGTAGTAGGAGCAAGTCTGTCGAGGAATTGATTTGTTAATGAATCGGGAGAGAACCAGAAGTTTCAGTAAATGCACACCTGAATCTTCTAATATTACGCCATACCACAGAAGGACGGACATTAGGGGAGATGGAGAGACAAAAAGATTTCCAGCTATCTGTTTTTTTTCTTTTGAATAATAAACTAGTGGCCTTGAAAGCATCTGTAACCAGATCAAAATTTTCAGATGTACAATTCTCACAATATTGGAGCTCAACTTGTTTTCTTTTTTTAATTGCATCTGAACATTCTTGATCCCACCAAGGTGGAGATGGAATAAAGCCCAGAGCACCGTTTTTAAGCGGAAAGGTTTTGTCTGCTACTTCTATAAATAATTTAGTTAATGCATCAGCACAAATTGATTCTGAACCATGTGAGATATTAGGAAGGGAAGTCATCTTTTGTTCTATACGGGATTTAAAGGTATCCCAATCAGCATTATTAAGTCGATGTTTTAATCTAGGTGAATGTCTAAATGTAAAATTAATGTGAAAAGGAAATCTAAGAAGTAAAGGGAAGTGGTCACTACCATATGAAGAAGAAAGTGTAGACCATGAAATAGTGGAAGCTAAACTAGGAGTACATATGCTTAAATCAGGGACACTTGTGCCTTCATTGGGAGAGGTCCGCCGGGTCACAGAACCATCGTTAAGAAAGCAAAGATTATGAGAGTTTAACAGTTCCATCAATGAAACTCCGTATGTATTGGTTGTTGAACTGCCCCAAGAATTATGTTGACTGTTAAAGTCGCCTAATAAGATAAAAGGCTTAGGAAGAGTAGAAATGATAGAGTCAATTTCAACAAAGATAGAAGAACTAGGATGAGGAATATATATTGAAACATAGCAGATATTATTAACAATAGCAGCAATAATTGAAAAATCATTACTATGAGAAGGAATAGGAAAGTGAGAAAAAGGAAGATGATGTTTGACTAGTAAGGCAACTCCGCCATACCCGTCAATACGATCCTCACGGAGACAGGCATAGCCTGAGTACCTACAAGGAGCACCTGGTTTCAACCAGGTTTCCTGTAGAGCGAAGATAAAAGGTTTATATTTATTTATAAGATAAATAATATCACTTTTCTTAGACGAAGCACTTCTACAGTTCCACTGTAGAGCTTTGGCTTGCTTGTCCATTATTAATATAATTTGGTAAGCTAACAATAGTGTCAATTAAAGGAGCAGCGTTGGACGGTGAAAGAATATTTGACTGTGATAAAGTGTTAATGAGAATTTTTATTAGGTCTGCAATTGATTGTAATGTCAAATCATTATTGTTGTTTAAGTTTAATCCACAACCATTTCTGGGTGAGGGCATATCATAATCTTTAATTAATTGTTGTTGTGTATTTCTGTCATAACCTTTGGAAAGTTTAGGAATAGATTTAGGTTTGAGAAAAAAGTCTTTTTGTAAGAGTTACTCAAAGACTGTTTATGAGACTGTTCATTTTGAGGAGTAGAAATAGTAGAAGCACCTACATTGGAAGAAGAAAGTAAAGCATCAGCATAAGATATTTTTGAGATAGGTGCATGAATTTTAGATGCTTCAGCGTACGAAATACAGCTCTTGGCCATAGATTCTTTGATGGCTTTTTGGCGATCAAATTCTAAACATCTTTTACTTGTGGCAAAATGGGATCCTTGACATAAACAACAGTATGCATCTTCCTCTAGGATAGAGCACTGATCAGCCGAATGGTCTTGGCCACACTTGAAACACTTTGGTTTTGATCTACATAATGATTTAACATGACCAAATCTGCAACAATTATAGCACTGTATTGTGGGGAAAATGTAAAGATCAACTGGGAGGGAAGTGTAGCAAATAAAAATTCGCTTAGGTAGTATTTGTCCATCAAATGTAAGAACCACAGTTTCAGTAGGCTTAAACTCACTGCCATTACTAGTAATGATACGCCGTCTCATTCTTCTTATTTTTAAAATTGGACCGCATCCAACAGGTAAATTAATATTTTCCGTAACTTCTTCATCTGACCACTCAGCAGGTATGCCTCTTACAACACCCATACGGGTAACAGTAAATGTTGGGATAAAAACCTTATACTCGACTGATTGTAAAGCAGAGTTATTTAGGAAAGAATTTGCGTCCTGGTAATTATTAAAAGACAGAGACAGTCTATTACGACCAATTCGTTTTAGGCTTCCGTTAACAATATTGTGTATAGAATTTCTTTTTAAGAAACGACCAAAAGCAATTGGGTGGACTGAAACGCTATCATTTGGAGTTTGCTGTACTCTTTGTATGTGAACAACATATGGTGCTGCATCACTTGGCTGGTATCTTAAACGTGCTACTGATTCTGGCTTTTTATATTCATTAGAGGAATTAAGTTGTGACGGGTTGGATTGTGACTCATTGAACAAGGGAGCAGTGCTAATTTGGGTATTGGTTAAAGGAATGCAATGACATTCGTTTGGTTTGATTTCCTTGCCCTCATGTTTCCGACTACGTCTCTTTTTATTACAGTGGGTGCAATGTTTATGCACAGTGGCTCTCCGTTTTCGAGCACCACTGCTAGATTTTATAGATCCATCTGTTTCCATTCCAGACTCATCATTTGAAATCGTTACTATACAGCCCACCCCAGGGACTTCTCCGCCCCCAGGGTCATCAGGCGGCTCCATAAGGAGCAAAAGTATATTAAAATAACTTACCAATAAATCTTCTCTTTAATACACTATTAAATAAAACTAAGAAATAACAAAAATATATACATTAACTACACTAGACTACTGATCCAAACCCTAGAAATAAAATTTAATTAAATCGAAAAACGCGTCAGTCTACGATCGTATTTCCCGCGCTTCTCGTCCTTCTTTTTATTAAAGAGAATTCATAGTAGGCTCGTCGAAAAAATATCGATACATCGATATATCGATATTATTTTTTCAATGTATCGATATTTTTGAGCGATATTTAATGTTTCGATGTATCGAGGTATCGATATAAAATTACAAGTATTGAAAAGGTATAAAAATCGATATTTTTTATAATTAAAAAATCCTAAAAAAGAATACTTTTTTTATACTAACATTTTTTAACAAATTACATTTTTTTGTCTTTGGTCGACTTGATTTACTGCGTTTTAATTTGGTACTTAAGTTGGCTTTTAAGTTGGCAACTCTGTCTGTCAATGTCATTTCAGTGTCAGTGTCTGTGCTTCAACTATCCGTCCGTCTGTTATCCGTATTATAACCTCAACGCGAGCGTATTTCTGCCTGCATTTGAGTTGATTATAGTTCTCAAACAATCTAACTAATTAAATCAATAATTAATTCACGTATGTGAACAAAATAATTCGAGCATTCCAGTCATGTCTAGTGTTGTATGGAACTTTTTCAAAAAAATAGACAGACAAAACGTTTCATGTAATGTGTGTGGGAAAATATATAAAACCAGTGGCAATACGACGAATTTATCTACACATCTTAAAAATAAGCATCACCATGCGTTTTTGCAACTTAAAAATAAAAACTCAAGGTCAAGTGAAGTGAATATTACACCAATAACAAGAACTAGTTCACCTGTTTCGTCTACTAATTCAACTATTACCAATACTAATAAACCTGCTGAGATAGAAAATAACTTCATGGAATTGTCTGAAATTGCGATTTACGATGATACTGGTGTAAGTATTTTATTTGTGAAAGATCAAACGTAGCTTTAGAATCTAAATATCAATTGTTCATAACCAATAACCAGTCAACTAATGATGTGTAATTACTAAAAGTATCGATATCGATAAATTAAAATTTTGGTGTTTTCACTTAACCTTAATACTATTTATGACGACAAGTGTAATGAAATATATACAAAATATTCAATAATTTTTTTCAGACTGAATCCTCCAAAGATGGTCAGAGTAAAGACTTGTGGAAACAGACTACACTCATAGATATGTTTGAAAGAAGTTCAAGCTATGAAGGTATTTTTTTTTATATTAGATTACTGTATTGTTTACATTTTAGTTCTATGAGGATGTTCTAATTTTATTATTTTTCTCAATTTAGCAGGGGGTCATAAAACTAGCCAAATAAATCAAGCTTTGATCTACATGATTTGCAAAGACAACATGCCTCTATCTTGTGTAGAAAAATCAGGATTGAAAAGATTTATGAGCGTCATTTGTCCACGCTATAAAATTCCATCACGAACTACTGTAAGCGAACTATAATATTAAATTATTATCTTATCCTTTTTATTTTTAAATGTTATTTTATTATTCATTTCTCATTCCAGATAACTGGCCTCATGGAACAACGATACGCCACTACGAAAGCCATTTTAAAACAAAAATTAAGTGAGATAAATAATATTGCTTTAACAAGTGATATATTAACTCTTACTAACTCGACACGAAGTTTCATCGTAGTGACAGCACATTTTCTTAACACAGCTAATAACTGCACTCCTGAGCATGAGATGGTGACATTGACAGCACGAAGAATGTATCAGGTAAGTAAGGTATAAAATAAATGCATCAAATTATAAAAAATAAAATAAATAGTTAATTATAATAAATTTAATAAAGTGGACTAATATTGGTCTTCTTTCCTGCAGGCGCACACAGCTGATTATATAAAAGAATGCTTTGAAAATATTACCGACGAGTTTACAATAGAAAAGGATTGCATCTTATCAATTACCACTGATGGTGGTGCTAACATGGTTGCTGCAGTGAAGAAATTTTTGGAAGATGGAAAAAGAATTCCTTGCATGGCGCATTTGCTGAATTTAATAGTGGATGGCGCAACAAGAGATAATGCACCAGTTCTTGAAATTGCCAATCGTGTCAAAGCCATTGTTACATATTTTAAACAATCTGTGAACGCAATGGACGATTTGCGAGCAGAACAAGAGGGACAAAAGAAAGAGGGAGAAGTATTAACACTTATACAATCAGTAAGCACAAGGTGGAATTCTTGTCTTGATATGTTGGAAAGATTCAATACATTATCAGCTATTGTGGCTAAGATTTTAGCAACTAGGCGGAATGCACCTGATATGATAACTTCTTCAGAGTTAAGTGTCATACGAGATCTGATAATATTGCTTACCCCATTTAAGCAAGCTACTGAAGAAATTAGCGGCGATCAGTACGTGACTTCTAGTTTGGCGATTCCCATTGCAAACTTACTTCAGAAAGGACTTGAAGAAGTAAAACCTTTCACTGAATTTGGTGTTGCTGTTCAGAAGAGTTTGCTAAACTTAGTTATTGCCAAACTAGAACCACTAGAGCGACATTTACATCTTGCTATAGCAACAATTTTAGACCCTCGCTTTAAGCGTATTCATTTTAATTCAGCACTAGCTGTTTCCACTGCAATAACCGCATTATCAAAAGAAATACGTTTAGAACATAGACGTAGAGGACAACTTTCGCCTGAACTCAGACCCACAACCACTACCATAATTCCAAATTCAGAAAATTCTTCGCCGTCGTTGTGGTCCGGACATGAAAAAATTATGATAGATATTGCTGCAGCAACCTCCAGTTTACTTTCAACCAGTGATGGTATGCCTAGCGAACTAAAGCAATATCTAGATCAGCCTATAATACCCAGAAAAGAGAATCCTACAAAATTCTGGTTTGATTGTCGTCATTTTACTCCAGTCCTTTCCGACATAGCTCTAAAGTATTTGATATCGCCTGCGTCCTCGGTTTCCTCAGAGAGAGTGGCATCTGCTGTAAATCTCGCAGTACCCAATAACAGAAGTCGGCTTACAGCCGAGCATGTAAATCAAAGAGTTTTTCTTATGTCTGTATCAGATAAATATTGGTTTGATTAATAAATAATTAATATTTTTTATTGTTGTCCTTGATTTAAAAAAATTTAAAATGATGTCTATTGATTAGTATTTATCTAGTAATGTAAGATGATTGAAGTAGATTAGGCCAAATAATTTTTTTTTCCTATCACACCGATATATCGATATTTTTAAATAAAAATATCAATATCGATATTGATATATTCAAAAATTATCGATACAATATATATCGATACTTTATTGCATTTCCGACATCCCTAATTCATAGGTACAACCGGAATATTTTGAATCTGTACACTAATCATGGATTGCTTATGTGCGTTTTCCAATTACAGCACTAGACCGCATTTTGCGGCATAATGCTCAACGTTGAGTGTTCCAACTACAGCAACGCTTCGCACAGCACAATTGAGCACTCTCAAAACGAATGCTCTCGCAAACAATACCAACACAGTGACAGAAAATTGACCAGTATTTTTCTTTAAGTTGGCATTTATCGAAATTTTCGTTAGTAAATATTATTTATTGTTGAAAAATTTGTAAGGCTTTCGTTTCGTCGTAGATTTTGAAAATAATTAAAGTTATTTCAAACTGCTAAAAAAATAAATATTAGTATGGATGAAGGTATAAATAGTTACTTTTTTTATATTCCACATTTAAAATATGAATACAATTTTATTTTAAAATTCGGATCTGTAAACAAATTTACTTTATGGCGCGTCTAAACGGGCCATGTTTTGCTGCAATTGATGGCTGCAACACTTTGGCCGGCAACATTGCAAACAATAGCAGCCACACTATGCAATATTGCAGTAATGTCCCGGCCATATAGCCAAACATGTTTTGTATAGCCACATATGGCTGATGTTGCCCCGATGGGTGGCCGGACGATCGCTAGGCTATCGAATTCAACTGCAATATTGCACAGCCAGTTCTCTTGTTGTTTCAGTCACTCTCTTTGTTATGGCATAGTGTATCCTTTTCTACGCGACATGACGTTTGCTTTGAGTGAAGTGTGCGTGTTGCTTTATTCTGTGTTTTGCGATCAGCTGTATTTGACGTTAGATTACTACTTAAAAATGACTACTTTTGACATTCTAGTTCTTGAATAATTTATTATCAAGACTTATTTCTAGACTCAAATTGTCTACAGTTTCACGCCTATTTAAGTAAGGTCGAATCCACAATCTCTTCTTTTTCTGTTTCTTTTTTAAAACAATATAAGCTGCTGCGACAAGTGTGATTTCGTCAGCCATTGTTGCCGGTTTGTGTGGCCCGTTTAGGAGTCTGCATCATGGGCCATACTATTGCAGACATATTGCAACACATTGCCCAGACATAGATTGTTCGGCCATCAGCTGCATTAAAATATTTTTGTAATGGCCGGGCAATTAGTGGCCAACAGTGCAGCCATCAATTGCAGCAAAACATGGCCCGTTTAGACGCGCCATTACAGGATTATACTTTCGAAAAAATTGCAATGGTTTTGAAAAAGTATATATTTTTTTAGAAATCATTAAAAAATATTACTCAAAACGTAAATGATGTAAACTTCTTACATGAAACTAAATATTTTACTGTTAATTTAGCTTGTTAAAACCTTATATTCTTTAAAGGATTTCTCTTATTTCAGTAAAAAAAAATTAATGAAATAATTTGATTATTAAATTAAGCGTAAAAAGTTTTCAACCAATTATTATTGTTTACCACATTATTTATACATTAATGAGGTTGCTAACTCTATTCAGACCATTTTTTTGTCAACACTGACTTAGCGCACTCTGCTGATGCATTTGAAAACTAATTCACGTTCCAATTAAGCTTCAGCATTATGCGGCATTGTGCGGCACAGAGTCGAAAAATGCTCTGTAATTGGAAAACGCACTATACATATATATATATAGAATAACCGTACTATTAGAAAGACCGCACTAGACGGATCTAAGCTGCAACGAAGTTGTCTCTCTCCCTAGTCCCTACAATAATATGGCGATTGGCGAGGGCCGATAACTGGCAATGCGTCGTATTCGTGAACAGGTGTATATAGTGACTTGGACTCAGATCAGTGTATGCTATGTATTAATTATTTTCTTTCACAGTTCGGTTTTCTTATTTATTTATCATTTATTTACTATCCGGATTTAAATCAATTGAAAATATATGGTATCAACTGAAAGGATATGTAGCCACTAGAAACGTAGACACGAATCTTACTTTAATAAAAAATATATTGACTGAAAAAGTAAACATGTTTGGGGCAGAAGACTGAATAAAGGTCGATCATGCAATTAAATATGAGAATCAGGATCGAAGAATTCAAAAGATCGTAGACCAGTGTTTCCCAACGGGGGGCCTGTGCCCCACAATGAGGCAATTTGATTTTTAAGAGGGCACGTGGAGACTTAAGAAGAAGCTAACCAAATTGGAATATATTTATCAGAATTTTAGAAAGGCTATGGTGGGCAGGTTGGTCGTCAGTAGGTAATGCAATCTCGATCCCGCGAGATCTCGAGATTGGTAGTAGTAGTAATGTGTCAGAAAAGTTAAGCTCTTTAATGAACAAGCGTATCTCTGAGCGTCGAATATACGTATACAACCACAGCGTTCTTATATTATAAAGATGACTTGGAGCAGCTATAAGGCGACGTAATTTTCTATTTACCTAGCAAATATATCGTATAAAAGTTAATTAAAAACATAATCAAACGATTATATCGCCTCCACTTTTGAATTTACATTACATTTACAACACAACACCTTAAGAAGAATTAGAAGAGACTCTGAGAGCAGCTAAAAGTCCTTCACGTGTTTCTGCGTGATTAAATAGATTAGAGTCACTGCTAAATAAGAGATGAATCTATATTAGTATGGTGTGGTACACTCCCGCAAGGGGTAGCTCATGGGTAGCTTTTGACAGTTTTCTTATAATAGCTGGCTCACGCTGGTGCCAACTAGTGTTTAGTCTGATAGGACATTTTCAGCTACTGGCGACGGACATATTAAGAAGCCGCCTGCTCTCTTGATACTCTTGCTTCTTAAGAAGTTTTTCCAAAATCACACCTATATAATATATATCTAGGATTGTATTAATATAAGTAATATGTTTCGTAATTTATATAAATAATTTGTTAATAAATAATAGGAACAGTAACTATAATGAACAATAATACATTAAGCAATTGGTTTTCGAAAACTACTTGAGATCTCAAGATATTGTTATTATTAATCCAACGAGAAAGAATTCTCAAAAATCTCTCATAAATTGTACCAAAACTACGAAAGATATTGGTGTCACATAGTCAACGGAATTAGTTATAATCACATACAGCTATAAATAGTTGAAATGGGTTTAAATAACCCCAATAAATTACTCAGTTCTGAATTTAAATTTTTATAAACAATAAATATGTTAATAGATAGCATTTGGTTATATAAGGAAATACGATGATTGCCACTATGCAATAATTAAAAGCCCCGTACTGGACCCACCTAATTTGTTATTATTATTTTTTTTTTTGTTCAAGACCAGCGTTAAGGAATAGTGTCAGTCTTTTATACATAGCTACATAATACATATTATTCATTTGTAACATTTATGCAGTGATATTCCAACATGATATATTCCAGTTTCACCTAGTGCAGTCTTACCTTTAAATTTTAATAACATACAATATAACATAGTGCGTTTTCCAATTACAGCACTAGAGCGCATTATGCGGCATAATGCTCAACGTTGAGTGTTCCAACTACAGCAACGATTCGCACAATTGAGCACTCTCAAAACGAATGCTCTCGCATGCTTCTCGCAAACAATACCAATACAGTGACAGAAAATTGACCAGTATTTTTCTTTAAGTTGGCATTTATCGAAATTTTCGTTAGTAAATATTATTTATTGTTGAAAAATTTGTAAGGCTTTCGTTTAGTCGTAGATTTTGAAAATAATTAAAGTTATTTCAAACTGCTAAAAAAAAAATATTAGTATGGATGAAGGTATAAATAGTTACTTTTTTTATATTCCACATTTAAAATATGAATACAATTTTTTTTTTAAATTCGGATCTGTAAACAAATTTATTTTACAGGATTATATGAGGTTGCTAACTCAATTCATAACATTTTTTTTACAACACTGACTTAGCGCACTCTGCTGATGCATTTGAAAACTAATTCACGTTCCAATTAAGCTTCAGCATTATGCGGCACTGAGTCGCATAATGCTCTGTAATTATACAACCTAATAAGCCACAAAGCCTAAACATAACTCAACATAATTATTGACAGTGATAATTGACATTTATTGTCAGTTGTCAGTTAAAAAAGCAAAGCATTGAAATTTGTAAGCATAGCAAGCACGACGCACCAAGCGGCAAGCACAAACCGGCTTATAAATAATTTCTTGTCCATAATTTGTTTAGGTTAGGAAACTATAAGATATATATTCCACTTCGTAAATATTTCTATGTACAACTTTGATTGTTTTTACGTTACAGAATATCTTAAAAAATGGCGGCGGCTATGCCAATTAACCCTAAACCATTTTTGAATAGCCTTACGGGAAAGGCTGTACTTGTTAAATTGAAGTGGGGTCACGAATACAAAGGACTTCTGGTATCGGCTGATGGATACATGAACTTGCAACTCGCTAATACAGAGGAAATCATTGAAGGTTCATGTACAGGTTAGATAAGTTTTTATGCATATTATTGTTTAAATTCACATTCACAACTATATACAGCTCAATAGAAACGTGTATTATGAAATACAACATATCTGGAAAGACTTATAATTATCTAAATATTAAGTGTAATTTCAAAATTTCTCTTATTACAGGTAATTTGGGTGAAGTATTAATAAGGTGTAATAATGTGTTGTATGTAAGAGGGGCAGAAGAAGAAGATGAAGAAGGGGAAATGAAGGAATAGTTAAAATTTATATTAACATGCCTCATCTTAAGTAACAGAAGAGAAGAGTTTAATAAATAAGATCATAAGATATTCATTGGTACAGCAAATGTTTTTGTATATTACTTAATTTAAAATAGGCTATGTTGTATCAACATTAAATTTTCGAACTATAATGTATAAGTTGTAAGAAATAAGTTGATATAGCGGGATGACTGTTTCCATTTAATTTAGTAAATTAAAAATTTCTCTTATGTTTCAATTATTATCCCTCTCATTGCATTCCTCCAGTTTATAGTTTTAGGACTTGAACATGTAAGTGGTAAGAAAATCATTGCAACAGGTCTAAGAATAGGAGGATAGTAACTTGAAACAAAATTGGCATTAAGTATATAGTGTAACATTTTTTGATATACTAGGACTCTCTCAGGGTCTTATTTACAGTTGAGACGCTAAATATGGTTGAATGGGGCTGCGTGAAGGACTGTTCATAAAAACTTTGTGAATCGGCTGTTCAAACAATAATATTAATTCTTCAAAATCTTTGGTGATCATGGGCTCTATTTTGAATAAAACATGCCTCTTGAATGTTCTCTAATTCTAAAATAATAGCCTCTTATGTAGGTACATTATATTTCCTTAAATAACATTTAAAGATACAGAATATGCTTATTCAAACTACAATCACACAATTATTAGAAATCTTTTTATCACACAGTAAAATTGTCTATAATTTTCTAGATATATTCTGAAATATCTAATAAGTTAAACAGTTGTTAATCTAACATTCTCTTTATTATCTTGAGTATTGCTTTAATATTTATACTTATTTAAAGATAGATAAATGTTCATAGATGTAATTTTTGATATTTAACATTATATCCAACGCAATTAGAAAATACAAGTATAAAGTCATTAGAAAATTAAAGAAAATGTGAATTGTGTAAAAAAACACATCAAATTACTAGCAAATTTGGCCTAAAAGAAGCAAATAGTAGAAATTTTGTAGTTTTTACCTTGAAAACATGAAAGTACAACTTTACTTAATGTAATGTAATATGTAAAAGTAATAAAATAATCTATCAGATATACAAAGTATAGAATTTTAAGGCGGAAACACATGAATGTGCGTATTGATTATTTTGTGTGAACACCTATAAAGATTGGGTGAAATTTAAATTTGAAGAAAAACTACTAATAATAATAAGCAGTAATTGCTACAAATCTTCTGTCGAGGAAACTTTGTTCTATTTCCACTGAACCGCCTGCTTCTTGTGCAATGGCCAAAATCTGTAAAGAAAAAATTTACTTAACACATGACACCCAAATTGGCAATTAAATAAATATGACAGAGCGACCCGACTAGTTAAATTATTTATGGTATTTTGACTGTTATAAGTTAAACCCAAACGATTTTGACAATTGAAAAATGAGTTTTAACACTTGCAATATTTTCCAGAAAACAAATAAAGTAAATAATATTTTACAAAAGTGAACTTACTTGGTCCGTCTTCGAGTTTCTTGGTAGATAAAGAGTAACATTTGAGTTTATTTCTCGTGCGACTCTCATCAACTCCGAAGCCGGTTTCGGTAATAACATTGTTTCTATATCGTATTTGGAGTTCTGTAAAGTTCAATATTTCACAATTTACAGAACATGAAATATGATGGCAAGCATGCCACAGTTTGTTCTAATTATAATATACTTCATACATTGTTCACTGGTACACATTTGAACATTGGTGTCAAAACGGCGACGCTGGCACACAATTCGTCAATAAAAAAAAAAAATATCAATTTAAAACACACCAAGTTATTTTAGTTATTATTGTTAGAGACTAAAAGTTCTAACTAATCGATGGAACGATAAAATAAAAGAATTAAGTTGTAAGTATTTGTTGTACCAATTTTGGATACATAAAAAAAGATGGCAAAAGGTTTACAAAACAAGAGTCGTTAAAAAGTACTAAGCACTAAGGTAACATATATACGATTTCTTGACATTTCAAATGGGTGATCAGATGATGCATACTAAGGAGATAATAGAACTAATGGCGACAAACTATCTTAATTACCGGGAAACCACCCATGGATCCTCACGGCATGCGTGTTAATACCGAACCACAGGAATCTTCTTTATAAAAAAAAAAATCTTTCGTTTCAAAAGGCTTAAATATTCTTGGTTACTTTATAAAAAATCTAGAAAATATTTATTTTTTATTTATACACTTCCGCCTTTTACCCGAAGGGGTAGGCAGCGACCACGAATCTCCACTTGCTATGGTACTTACTTCTGGACATCCACCATACATGCTCGTCGGTTATGGGAACAAAAATTTTATCTAAACATACTTACGTCGGAATAATTCGGTCCTCCCCAGGGTGGACTTAAGAAGACCATATCAGCAGACAGACTCGGTGCCAATTCGAAGAAGTCGCCCACTATGAACTCTATTTTGTGGCTGACCCCATACACCTCTGCGTTATGACGAGCCATTTCAATCTTATTTGGGTCTATATCTATTGCTATTACTGAAAAAAAATATATATATATTTATCGACGTATATATTCATAGCATGAAGCATTGCATGGTAGAGACAAATTTATGTTTGGTACTTCAATTAATGGAAATCAAAAACTAATTCATTTTAAATTAAGTGCTTTTTCGTCTGTTTCTATCAAATTGTATGTACTCTATAATAAAAAGTGAGAGATTACTTTATTAAACGGTGCAACTAACTAGGCTTTATTGTTTTTAAGAAAAATATCGGTAAATTATTAGATGTGACCTAGATATATATGTATAATTTTTATAATATAAAAATAATTATTTTAGTAAATTTAAAACAGATAATAGTTATTCTATATCATTCATATTATTATGATTAACCAACTGTGCCGTTGTGTTCACGTCGTTATGTTACCGTTACCGCATCGTGTGGCCGCGCTCTTAATGTACTTGTACCGTCATTTTGTTGCCGAGTTATTTTAAAACAATGATCTAAGATATTAATTGAAAATCGTATCAAGCTCTTTTTTTAAACATTAATTGTTAAAGTTGTTGAAAACGTATTTATTTGGATAAGGGTTCATATTAAATTTATGAATGCATCTTTATAAATAATTATTTTAATTTGATTGCAATGTTTTTGCTACATTATTATTAATATCGGCTTGTATTAGAATATACAGAATAAAGACGAAAGAAGCACAGACACAGCCAGTATAAAAACTTACCCTTTTTCGTTGTATTTGCAAATTGTATGGTATTCCCACCGGCACCACAAAAGGCGTCAAGTACCACGTCATACGAATATTTGTTCGCGATATGACTGGCAACATTCTCCGGCGTCACACTGAACCAGCTTTCGCGGTCTAGTTTTATTCCTTCATCGAATCTGTGGACGAAAAAGAATAAATATCGTCCTACCGTCATTGTCGACTACCCTCTCATTTATACAAATTCAAACGTGATAATTAATTTCAGCACGTCTGCCTTTATCTCTTCCAAACTTGTAAACGCAAATTGAGAGAAAGAGACGTAGAGAACTTAAATTAAAACTGCAAAATATATTTGTTTTGGATTAAAAGTCTGATCCTTACCATAAAAACAAGAAAAATGCCCCATGCTCCGTTATGGGGCTGGAGACAGTTATTAGAATATTTACCTATGAAATAGTGAGTGCCGTTTCTTCCAATACTTCATCATTTTGGGGTCACCTCGCAACTCTTCGGGAATATGAGGCGCGTTGCACTCCTCTAGATCATACTTTGAATGACGCTTTTGGCGGCGGCGACGTTTTGTCAGACCTAAACCAATTAAATACTTTTATATTTAATTTAAATCAATTGTTTCGTACTTAGTTATTTTTAATACATAATGTGAATTTGTTTAGAAGTATGTACCAATAAAATATGTTTCTTAAAATGTAAAATACAAATATAAGAAATAAATTCTTTTAAACCATAATTATAACGTTTTTTTTGTAAGTACCCTCAGCAAGTGTATTTGTTGAAATTAAAAATAATAGATATTGTTGTGTGAGATTCTGGAATTTTTGCTTATCTTTAAATAAGCAAACCCAATTGTCTTCATAGACACTTATTTATGAATAGGAGAGCTTTATTTTAGTCGTATTGTCAACCACACGCATTTTGAAACCTAGACTTAATGACCTGCAGGGACACAGCTAAACATTAAAATTCATTACAGAGATTAATGCATCTGTTTTTTTTTAGATTTCCTTATATTTTGAGAACTCAACAATAATAGTTATAAACTACAATATTACATAATCACTATCTTTTGGTGAAAACCGTACTTAAACCGTAAATTTTTGACTTTATCAGACATACATATATAGATTTTATAAACTGTTGTGTGTGTACTTTTATTAGCTACAATAAACAAACTTTAACTTACTGTCTAACTCCACATCTTCACTGCATTCCTTATCCCCATCCAAATCTTGGTCCATCTTATTAATTTCATTTTCTGTTACTTCAACTTTGTCACTTTCACTTACATTAACTATATCCTCATTTATTTTCTCATTGGATTTTTGATTATTTGTTTCACAATCTAATTGGATTTCAGGTCCCTCGTCTTCTGTTTGCATATCTTTATCTTCTTCGATTTCTCTATTCTGTAATATAAAAATAGTACTGGATGAAAATACTAATTTCTAGACGATGAAAGTAAAATTTCTCTCTTAAACTTAAATTTATGATTGATATTCTAGATACAGTGTAAACTCTTTATAACGAATTTCAAGGTAACGAGCAATTTTTTCGTTATAGGGAGCGAAGAGAGAAAAAAAAACAAATTTAACCTATCTATCAATAGGTAAACTATTCTAAACACATATAAAACATAACGCTTTTCTTTTACTGGCCATCTTGACAGTTTCAAAGTTTGTTTACGACTGATAATACACGATAGGTAACGGTGGTGCGCTTAGAAACTGAGACCAAAATTTCCTACAGGCAATGTAATCTAAGAATAATGGCACACGTGTTAATGCAATAAACAATTACAAAGGCGAGACAGCTGTTTATGACCTCAGGTGTCTTTCTTAGAAATTTCGGCACCTCAAAACATTAGTTTCGTAAGCTGATTATAAAAAACAATTACACTTAAATATGTTGTTGATGTCTAAATATGGCAATATTCCTTCGTTATAGAGAATGGCTGTTGCGTTATAATGACGTTATAAAGAGTTTACACTATATATTTTAAATCCTTTTAATAAACGGCAGTGTCATTAGAAAAAAAAGGGTGCGTGTACTTATGTACGCGCGTAAGAAGTTATACTTCCTTGGTATTATTAAAAATAGTTTTTGATTGCATGCAAATAATTAATTACAATTAAATAATCAAAGACTGGAAAAGGAGTCATTATAGTCAATAAAGTTCAGTTTACATTTGAAAAATTAAATAAATAAATATTTATTAATATTATATTTATATTTATTATTATTTTCTAATATTAATTGGTATTGATTTAAATATTCAATTTAAATCACTTCTGATTATAATTCAGACGCACATATAAAATTCGCACTTGTATGTATAATGAAAACAAAATGAAAACACGTGTTTTAAATGTAGAAACTCAAAGCATGTGGATAAATATTATAAATATAAATACACAGTGAACAGAGGCGGCGTGCATGACAACATGCGCCACTAACTTCATTCTGTTAATTTTGTGTCACGGTGCGCGCGCATCGTAAAATTTCACTCTCATCAATTTTTTATAACGCGCCTAAAGAAGTATAACTTCAAAAACATTTTTACATACAACTTTTAGTCATAAAAACAGCATTACCCAACAATTGAGCAACCAACTTTTTCAGAGTAAGCTATAAAAATAATTTATAAATTATTGATTGTTTAGAAGAAAATTGTAATGCAATTTAACTAAATATAACAAATATCAAATTTGTTAATTTTTAAAACATTTAGTTTAACTTTAAATTACTAATCTAATACAAATTTTAGTTATAAAAATACCTGATCGGAGCTATAAGGATTCCCTTCATCATCAAAATAAGTCTTTTTCGGCTTCTTGTATCGAGGCGGCCGCAATTTGCGTACCCGACGACTGAACACGACTTCACCCCGTGGTAGCTTTGCTGATTCGAAACTGAATCCCATAGTTTGGAGTGTAAAGTGCACATCCGGTGATTCCTCTTTGTCTAACTCATGGCTGAAGAAATGAAATTGATAGACTCTGTACACATATTATTGCAGAAGAACAGTGCAGTGCAAGATATTTGATAAGACTGGATGTAACAACACATCAAGGGAATTATATTGTTTACTAGCTGACCTGGCAAACGTCGTTTTGTATATGTATATCATTTATAATAAAAAATTGGGTTTGATCGTAGAGGGGTTGTATGTATTTTTTAATGCTGTATCATAAAAAATAAAAATATAAAAAATAATCTAAAAATTAAAAAAAAAAAATTAGGGGCCTTAACATTTCGGGGGATGAAAAATAGATGTTGACCGATTCTCAGTTATACCCAATATGCACACAAAATTCCATGAGAATCGGTCAAGCAATCGGTTTCAGAGGAGTTTAACCACAAACACCGCGGACACGAGAATTTTATATATTAGATATTTTCATACCATTTTTTATTTATTTTATTTAATAAAATGTTTATAATGATGGAAACTCTTTACACATCCCAGCCACAAATCGGCTCAATTAATTGCTTAATTATTGTACAAAATAAGCACATATTTATTTGACCAAATCAACAACACTTAAAATAATACTTTATCTTAATTTCTATGCACCTAAAGTTAATGATAAAGAAAGTACACAAGTGCGTTTTCTGGTACAATCTGTTCTTAAAGGATCCTAAGTCATATTGGTTCAGAAATACATATGGTCCCATATAGTGCATATATCATATACATTTAAAAATAGAGAAATTAACGAAATCTATAAACCTCACCTTCTCTTCAAGGTAATAGCCTTTTCTTCCGGAGGTTCATCATCACCATCTTCATAACTATAACTTGAGTGACCGAACCCACTTTCCATATTATTAGAACTGTTTTGGCCATTTGTCCCTGTTTCTATAGATTCTTTTGCATAACTTTTATTTTCTTTACCTGTTTCACCATCAACCGGTTCAGTTTTTTCGACTTCAGGCTTTACCAAATTTTGCAACAGGGCACTAATTGAATGTATTTGGCGATAATTTGTTCTGTAAAATTAAAAAAGATTCTTTAACAAATGTTGGGTCAATAGATATAACGTAGATATGAAAATAAAATGAAAATTGTAGACTAGACACAAAGGTTAAAAAACATACTTTTCTTTTGGTTTTTTATCTTGAACCTTTCTTGAATCTGTATTTCTCTCATCATTTATCATAGCATTCTCCACTTTTCCTTCATTATTTGCGTTTTGGCTGTCTTTAACACCTTCAATCTTAGAATTTTCACTGTCAACTGAAGCACTAGTGTCGTCTTTTTGTTCTTGTAATAAATTTTGCAGCAAAACACCAACAGTGTGAAGCAATTTATTTGATTTCTTGTTTCGTTTCTTTTTATTGGGCTTTTCTTCCAAATTTATATGTTCCAACTGAGTCTTAACTTCAATAACAGATGGTAATTCTTGGGAATTTCCTTCACTGTTTTCACAATCAACATCCAAACATTTAATTTCCTCTGTTTTCTTATCTACAGCCACTTCACATTGAACATCTTGACTTTCAAGATAGCTTGCATAATGCGAAGCATATATTTCACCAAAATGTTTTTTCCACAAAAATTGCCAATATTGTTCAGTGTCCATCTCTTCTGGGACTTGCTCTGAATTATCCTCAACATTAACAATCCTAGTTTGATCATTAAATTGGTCATCTGATGTGGATGATGTTACACTATAATCATCTGTTGGTGTTGATTCAGATGTTACATGACTTGACGTCATGTCATAGCTTGATACTGTTATCTTTGTAACATTTGTTAATGAATCAGTTCCCTCAATAGTTCTGGGGCTAACAATTCTCTCATGCTCTGAACAAGACCTTCTTCTATTGTTAACAGACAACCATGTAGCATCATGCTGGTCCATTGATTGTTTACTACATCTCTCACTAGACCCATCACATTTATGTCCATGTCTGTAAGGATTTACTTTGGAATCATATGAAAATTTTCTTTCTCTGACTACATTTGGCTTTTCAAGGTTATTGCTTAGATCAGCTGAGTTCTTTTTAATTTGACTTTCATTAAATTCATTATTTTCATTTTTATATGCTGGATTTATGTAGTCACTATATTTATTTATCCAAGATGCCCAGATGATTCTTTCACCATTTACAGCCCAAAATTTGTCCCAAGTGTTTTCAGAACTGTAATCTTCCTCGTAATTAGTCTTGGATGAATTGTCTTGTAGGTCCATTTTTTCAATACCTTCATGGGAGGTAAAGTCAGAATGATAATCTTGGTATGTAAGATCTGCCCCACTATCGCTTGGCTGTATAGTAGTAGGTAAACTATGTATTTGAGTAGGATCATGCTCGTCTGTAGAGCAATAGTTTTCTGTATGAGAGGCACTACAATAGCAGCTGGCATTATCATCTTTCTGTAATGTAAACAACAGATTTATAAAAAGTTAGGTGAAAAATTTTCATGCATAAGGCTTCTAAATTTTATATATACTCACCTCACATTTAACCTTGTATGATGTATCAAGTGAAAAGTGGACATGGGAATGTTCATCAAACTCTTGAGATTGAGACCCATGTATAAGATCAGCATCACTTTCACTACCATATTCTTTGTCAACAAAATATGTTGTCATGCCATCTCTAAAAAGGAAATATTGAAATTTAGAAATATCATTGAAATTTAAAATATATTTTATTCGCATTTGAATTAAAAAGTCTTTGAAAATGTTGTCTAAAGTATTGATTTTCAAGAAAAAATAAATATCTTACCTAATTAAGACTCTGCTACACAAGCAAAACACATAGTTTCCCTCTTCATCTTCTTCCTCATCATTAATTGCAAAGTTTATTTCCGCCAAAGGCTCCCAACGGTAAGAAAAATCACAATATCCAGACATCTTTATAATAAATAACCTCTTGAACGTAATCTATGAATGCTAAGCGGAGTAAACTTAATTTTTACATGTTCGTCAGACAATTAACGTTAACAATAGCTGCTACAAAAACATTTAATTTAACTTTACATTAAAAATATTAATAATGAAATTAAAAAATATAAACTATGAAATATCAAGTGTTTTTAAACCCGCTTAATTTTAGACTTGAATGTCCAATTGTCCAGACTCCAGGCAGTGACAACTGACAAAGGACAAACAACTTGGAACCTACTTTCGTCATTACTTACATACCCCTATACCCGTTTAGTAGCCTAATGCATTATGCAGCCGAAATACTTATTTCGGAATGCTGTTTTATTTCTTTGTTGCGAAAAAGTTCCAAATTTTAACATATAAACAGTCCTTAATTCTCTTAGGTATAGAAACAGTTGATGTATGTATAGAAATTGACTTTCGTAGATTGATATATGTCAAGTGTATTTTTGATCAGTTATAATATATTATCTATGATTTTTGAGGCCTCAGACTTCAGTCTTCAAATTTCAATTCGCAGTCAAATTGCACGTTGTTTTGAAACAACATAACCCAAAAATTTATAAAGTTCTTGTTAGATATTCATAAACTGTAGTTTCAACTTACTATACAATATGGGAAAGAAAAACAAAGAGTCCCTAGGCCGTTCTCTTATTAAAGATCGTTTTGCAAAAAATCGGCACCGGAAACATGTTGAAGACAATACTATGGTATGTGAATTGTGAAATTCAATTATTAAGATTTTTTTAATTGTCATAATAAAAAAAAATTTTTTTATAGTTGCACACAACTGAAGTAAATGATGGTTACGACTGGGGCCGCTTGAACTTACAATCAGTCACAGCAGAATCTTCATTACAAGAGTTTTTGTCTACAGCTGAGTTGGCTAACAGAGAATTTATAGCTGAAAAGCTTAATGTAAAATATGTCAAGTCGGCTCCAAGTGCAGTGGAGTTACAGACATCACAGCCAGATTTTGATGAACCACTGACAGTTCCAAGACGGTATTATCTTAACTCTATGTTTTATACAATGGTTGAATGGTTAAATTTATATTATTCTCTATGTTCTATTTGTATGTATTTTTATATAATAAATACTTTATTTATTTGCATATTGTTTTCAGACCACCTTGGAAACCAGGTATATCAGCAGAAGACCAAATTAACAGGGAAAAAGATTCATTTTTAGACTGGAGGAGACATTTAAATGAACTGCAAGCTAAACTTGGAGCAGCTGTCACACCATACGAAAGAAATATTGAATTGTGGAAGCAACTGTGGAGAACTTTAGAGAAATCTGATGTTGTGTTACTCCTCTTAGATGCTAGGAATCCATTACTATTTAGGTATTCAGAATCAATTGGTGACTTTCATTTTTAAACATATAAAAATCTATATCAATGCAAACTTCACTTGTTAAATTAGATTATTTATACAAACAGTATTACTAGTATTATTATAGATAGCCCCACAAGATTCTCAAATGAGTGGTAATACTTAAATATTATTTTTACAAAAATTTTTTTTTATTATGGAATATAAGATACAGGTATCACTTATTCCACTTCATTAAATTTTCATCTATAGACATCCCTACTCATCAGCAAAGAAGACAGAAAAAGCCGGAGACTACAAAATGACTATGGCAAACATAGATAGAAAAAACCAAAAGGAGGGAGATACGGTCCGCCCTTTATTTGAATTAAATTACAAAATGAAACGAGCGACGTTTAGCAGTCCAGTTTCCAGTTTTACTGTTACATACTTTTTAAAGATCTTGCATTTGTAGAAATACCAATCATTTACACTTTATAACATTTATAATCTTTATAGGTGCTTAGATTTAGAAATGTATGCAGCAGAACAGAACTGCAAGATTATATTGTTGTTAAATAAAGCCGACTTGACAACAGAATATGTAAGAAAATGTTGGGCAGAATACTTTACAAAAGAGGTACATTTTGATAAATATATTATATATAGTAAATAAAATATACATATGATATGTATAAATATACCTTACACACATTACACATATTATTTAACATTTTATCTATATTTTCAGAATATATCAATCATATTTTTCTCTGCGGCTAAAACAGTTAAAGAAAGAAAAATATCAGAAGAAAGTGCCACAAAACCTGACCTGAATGTTGATTCAGGAACAGAATCAATCGATTCTAATGATGAAACAGATGATGAAAACCCTGACAATTTGAAACAAACAGAAATTGACATTCAGAACTTTAAAAAACAATTAGGTGTTTTAGATGAAGCTGTTACAAATACGGCTACAAAATTATCAAACATACAAGAAGCATTAGATAAGGTTTTAGAAAATTTAAGACTAGGAAAGCCCATAGAACCTTTAGAACTAAAGAAAAACATCAGTGAAAGTGATCAAAATGCAAATCCCAATGAAGTTAATGTGCCAAAAGTAACAAATTTACATGAAATATTTGGCAGAGATCAACTTGTAGATGTTTTGAAAAGTATTAAGGTTGATAAACTAAAAAATCCACCAAGATTAACAGTGGGAATGATTGGATACCCTAATGTTGGAAAATCTAGTACAGTTAACATTTTGATGCAGACAAAAAAAGTAAGTTTCACAGTGGGAAGAAATTTTAAAGTAGCCTAAATTAAGTATTATTGTATAGGCGCATGTGTCATTATGTAGAATGACTTAAGCTTAGGTTTCCTAGAAAAGCGGTGCCGTTAACTAACGGCCGTCATTTTTTTTTTAACGGTTGAAAAGCTTAGGTTTCCTAGAAAAGCGGTTATAAATTAATTTTACGGTTGTTAATAACTTTTTAACATAATGCAAAAAATACATCATTTTCGCTCGTCCAAGTCACGTTTCCTCTCATTTTATTAATTAAATATCGGCACCGCTACACGCGAAAAACGTTGAACTAATTTTTATCACCGCTATGACGGTTGTCATGCAAATGACAGCACCGCTATTTGACGATACGGTGACACTCAACGTTCTCTAGGAAACCTACTCCGATGTTATTTATAGACAACGTATGGGTGACGTCACCCAACGCTACATTACGGCCGTTAGATAACGGTACCGCTTTTCTAGGAAACCTAAGCTTAAGTATCAATAGAGTTTTCTTCTTATACACACTATTAACACAAAATAACATGGGACAAAATTGTCCATAATCATCAAACACCAAGACATAAATCTAGGGTTGTCAAGTTGAGTTGTTGGAACTCTTGTCAATAAAATACTTTGAGCCATTTATTATTTAATATAAGCCCTTTTTTGAGGTCTTAAATTTTATGTTTTTGACTAAATATGTGTAATAACTGTGACTAAATATTCAATTCTTTTACAGGTTAGTGTAAGTTCAATGCCAGGTCACACACGTCACATCCAGTCACTAATTCTTGATGATGATATAGAATTACTGGATTGCCCGGGTTTAGTGTTGCCAGCATATGCAGTTGCACCAGATTTATTGCTTACTGCTGTGTTGCCAATTGATCAGGTACATAAGTAATAAGTATTCTCTAAATATTTTACATAAACCTCTTTGCTATCTTGGTGATTCAGCATTAATTATAAAATAAATGTCTTGCTATAATTTTTTACATTGTAACAGTTATATTCTCGTTTATTGGGGATGAAATAAAATTCGTAATCAATATGTAATAATAATTTATTTATGGCTTTTAGATACAAATATTTACAGTGTATTTCGTGGTCACAGACCCTCCTATTAAGTGTACAGTACTCGCCAGGAGAGTCTACTTTATTATACTATGTTTAATGTCAGATGCGAGCTCACGATGCGGCGATGGCCCGTCTTTGTCAATTGGTCAGCCGGAACACGTTCGAAGAGAAATATGGTTTGCTGTTGCCTGAATATGAAGGAAGTGACTTGGAATATAAGAAGATACTTACGGCGCATGCGTGTAAGTTTCTTGTTAAAAAAATAATAAAGACTTACATAATTTAAAGACCGCTCACTAGGGCCTTTCAAGACCTGACTTATCAACGCTTATTTTTAGTTTTCATTAGCACTTAAGCTTTTCAGTTTTATTAGTACTAAGGTCCAAAAGGATCTTATGAGTCTACGCAATAGTGGTGTATGTCGAAGCTGGGTATTTTCTATTATTTATATTTATTTTTGGTGATGTTGCTTGTAACTGCCGTAGTAGGAAACGTGATATTAAAATACAGGGTATAAAGACTTAAGTTAACTTTTTTATACAGTTAACCGCGGCTTCATGACGGCGGCTGGTCAGCCGGACGTGTCCCGATCTGCGAGACTTCTCCTCAAAGATGCTGCTAGCGGACGATTGCATTGGGAACAGCTACCACCAGGCTTCAGTGCCCCCAGTGTGGATATTTTGATAGAAGATAAGAAGAATGACACTAGAAAACCTACGCCAAGGGAAGCTAGAGCTGTTGAGGTAAATTTTTATAATATTCCAATTTTTTAGACTTCAAAAATTTAAACATACAATCTTTCATCTGTGTGAAATTGTTTGAATGAAAAAGTGAATAATCTGTATTTATAAAAATCCATCGTAAAAAATATATATAGATTTTTATACGTTAGTCACGTGACACGAAACGGTCACAGACTAGTCTAATCAACGATGACAGACCATGCTTGATAATGTCTTCGTCCTAATACTATTTTGGAGTTTAATTTCGATGGAGACTGTTTTTGATCGAAATATAATGTATTTTTATTTGTGTAATTAAATTATGTTAATTAACACGTGAAAACACTTACGTCTGTTCATAGGCATGGTATATCGTAGGGACTGCGACGCCATCTTGCCTAGAGTTTGGCGGGATTTTAAAAAAAGGAATGTTTAATAAGTTTTTTTAATACTCACCATAATTTAATAGTATATAGTCACTAATAAAATATATTAAGAAATGGTTTATAAAGTCCGGTCCCAACCTATTGGATATTTGAGTATGATACGCCAAGAATATGTGCTAATTTTCTAAAGGGTTTGTCCACAAATTTCTCGAAAGTTCTAAAATTTATTTTTATTTAAATCAGATATACTTAGGGAAATGTCCACGTTGTATGTAAGCGATTGCCTTGTTTTTGAGATATCCACGCGTTTCGTTCTAGATAATATTACTTAGATAAAATAGTGTTGATAGATATTTGGATTCCGTTTCTAAGTTGCTTTTACTTATAAATTATAAAGGTCGGTCGTATTGTATTAGCATTTTGTAAAATATTTTTGTCCTAGGAAATTTTCTAGGAAAAAATCATAAGTTTGCGTAAAAAACTTTCTTTACTTTTGAAAGTTAATTCTGTCAAAGTGACAAGTGACATTAATATAAATTTTTATTTCAGGGTTGGTTGAGCAAATCAAGTGAGATTGATAAAGCGTTTTTCGCAATGAAAAAGGCCGGTCCCCACGTCAAAGGAAAGCCGATACTCGGGTAATTATAACTTTATTGAGTATTAGTAATTTTTCTTATATGTGTTAATATTTGAATAACAATTTCATAATTATGCAATTTATACACAAAAATTTAAAGATGTGTTTTTTTATTGGGATTAGGCGAGGGTATTAATGCCAACACGCGCATTTATCTAATTTCTTAAATTGGGATTTAACCATATAAATCAATGAAACAAACATAAATAACGCCAAAATTGACATATACTGTATAGGCCACAGAAATTTTGCGCCTTCTAGCAAATTTTTATTTGTATGCCATAGAGTATAAAGACAGACCACAGACAATGTAGCAAAAATTGTAATGAAAACTGTAAATTTCTTTCGAAAAATATGTTTTTGTTGGGCATAGACAAAAAGAGATAAAACTAAACTAATGGATGTGGTATTTTATTTCATGGCTGACTTGTTCGAAGTGGCCCTTGGCTACTATTTATCTGTTCAGGCGTTTGAAGATCTTTGCTAACTATGGTAAAAATATCTGCTTAAAATGTTTACGTTATGTTTATGACCCACATAGACGTAGTGCTCGAAAAAAATATAAGTGGAAATTTTTTCAACATAAACCCAATTCGTTCAATACGTGTTAAAATGTTGCAGTCGATTTGTTTATTTTCACAGCACATGGTTAGCGTCATTCCATCCAATGCGCTAGAAAATTGTATAAACAAAATAGAATGTGTACTTTGAACTATTTTGAGATTTTTTGAACTTAAGACCTTTAGCGGCCATCTGTTCCACTTTATATGCAATTTGTTGCCAACCGTTAACTATAAACCTTTCGTCGAGCGACTATATCAAACCAAGCGGTTGAACTGTACACCTTTTCTATACTAGGTTGAGATTTTATAGTTTATATTAATAGAGATTTCTGTAAAATACATATGTAGGTGGCTCTACAATTTTTTAGGTCTGGCCATAGATTTCTGCTTTTTGTAATGATCATTTGTTTTGCTAAGGCAAGTAGGTCATCAGTCTTCCGTCGTTCCATAACTGAGCGATAAATAAAGATAAATTCGATTTTGGGTCCTTCAAGGAATGAGCGTATCAATTCTTAAAACTCCGGCAATGCACTTGCGAGCCTTCTGGCAATGTGAGTGTCCCCCATGGACACGTATCACTTAACATCAGGTGGTCAGGTCGTGAACGGGCTGGAGCTGTTTGCCGCCTGTTACATAAAAAAAAGATACAACCAACTTAATAAATCGTATCTTAAAAATTGTATGTCATTTTAGGACTAGGTACAATAGAAAAAAAAATCACTTACACTGTCAGTATATTATAATATGATAGGAAGGCAGACGACGGAACAGCCATAAAAGGCCCGCAACCCATAGACACCTATGTTAGTGGATGCGTTGCCGGCCTTTTAGGCAGAAGTACGCACTTTTTTTTAAAGATTCCGGAAGACCACTGGGAGCTGATACAGTTCTCTAGTTTACAATATATAAATTGCTAACTTAGAACTGTATCGCGTTAAAGCGAGACTGTAAAATTTTAAATCTAGATTTCACTGACTGACTGTTCTAGAAGGCGAGTTATTAGCGTACGAATATACTTTTGAGCAATTTTCATGATCGTTAACCCACCGTCTCCTCGTAAACTTGTTAAATTTTATGAATTAACGCTTGGCCAGACGCCAGATTCGCGATTCCAAAGGTTTATTTAAGTTTCCCTTAAATATAATTGATAATAATTAACCATCTCCCTTTCATCTTGATGGTCGTTAAGATAATTTTGTGGCGTTCGGTTCAAAGATACTTTATTTCTCAAAGAATTACATTCACTTAGCGAGAAAATTTAGAGTAAGTTAGTTATGTACATCGTGTTATGAAATTATTTGAAAATACACTATATAAAATAAAAATATTAGTTCTAACAATATGTACCATATTTGTTACAAAAGTGCAGGTAGGTCGCATCGATTTTACAACATGTTACAAGACGCTCGTTCGCAGACATAAGTAAATGCTACAATAGCTGTTTGATGTTTTGTAAATACATTAATAATTATCCCATTAATTCATATTAAACTTTTACGATTGTTACAGACACAGATATAGAATATGGTTGTTTATATTTTTGTTATTTTATAGGTATGTTGTTAATTATATGTTCTTTTAAAAGTTTTTTAAATTTGTAAAAAGGTTTTATTTCTTTTAATCTGGGTGGCAATGTATTAAATATTTGTGCGCCTTGATACATAATATTAAGTTTTCCGTAATTAGTCCTTGGTTGTATTAAACATAATGTATCAATATTTCTTAATGGATATTTTGTATCTGATTTTGTGTAAAGGATAGATTTATATGAATTAATTTGTTAATAATTTTGTATATTAAAATTGAGGTATTGTAAACGTATGTCTGGTTTATACTCATAAATTTGGTATCACTGTATAGTTTTTCAGTTGGAGTCAAATAATCGTAATAGAATAATGTCTTCAATAATTTATTTTGCAAAATTTGTATTTTATAACGATTTGTAGGCGCTGCAGTGCCCCATAGTTCGATTAAGTAGTCTATATGTGGCTTTACCATAATATTATATATAATGAGTCGGACTGACTTTGGGAAGCAACGCACACTGCCACGCAGCACGCCAAGAATAGAAGATAATTTGGATTTAATTATGTCAATGTGCGGCTTCCAAGTTAAACGACTATCCAATACAACACCAAGATATTTTTGAGTATTTGTTCTAATGATATTACATCCATTAATAGTAAGAGGTACAAAATCGTATATTTTCTTATTTTTTGCCGCAAAAATTATATAATTTGTTTTTTCTGTATTGATAGTGAGTAAATTAGTTTCTAACCAATCACTTAGGCAGTTTAAATCAATTTGTGCATCTTTCACGATTGTATCTATATTACTACCATAGTAAAACAAACTTGTGTCATCTGCATACAACGTAACATCACCCTTTAACCCTAAGTTGCTAATGTCATTAATATAAATCAAAAATAAAAGTGGCCCCAGTATAGATCCTTGGGGCACACCACAATTTATTGGAGTAGCATCACTCATAAACGTTCCTATCTTAACTATTTGCTGGCGGTTCTCAAGGTAAGAGCTAAATACTTTTAATGCTGTTCCTGTTACGCCAATATCGTTAAGTTTTTTTAAGAGAAGTTCATGAGAGACGGTATCAAAGGCTTTTTTAAGATCAACAAATATGCCTAATGCTATTTGTTTTTTATCTAACTTAAGTTTAATTTCTGTTGTTAGGTCTATTGTAGCAGATAACGTATTCGATTTAGGTCTGAATCCGTATTGCTTTTTGTATAATAAATTTATTGAAGCTAGGTAGTCATTAAGACGCAAGTGTAATATCTTTTCAAAAATTTTTGATAACACTGGTAGGACTGATATTGGTCGGTAATTACCAGGATCAGAACGATTGCCTGACTTATAAATCGGAGTAACCTTGGCTACTTTAAGGCTGTCTGGAAATATACCATTACTTAAACATTGGTTAATGCAACTCGTTAGGTTGTTGACAACCAGGTTTTTAACACACTTTAGTGCTTTCGTACTTATGCCATCAATACCTATGGATGTGTTGCTATTTAAATTGCTAATAATTTTAAGGATTTCATCCGTGGTAGTCGATATTTCTGATAGAAATGTTTGAGACTTTATTTTAGAGAGAGAAGTAATTATGTTTGTAGTGGTATTTGCAGGTTTTGAGATTTTTGAGGTTAGAATTTGCCCGATAGTAGAAAAATATGAGTTAAAACATTTACAGATCTCTATTGGATTAGTTATTGCAGTTGAATTTATTTCTAATTTTGTAGGCATACTGGTATCTTTTACTTTATTATTTGCTATACTATTTAGGAGATTAAACATTTTGGTTGGTTTTTTTATACAGTTTTGAAAAGCCTTTTGATAGTAAGTACTTTTAGCTGTTTGTATGGTTTGGGAAACTTTGTTTCTTTTGTTTATAAATTGTTCCTTTATTTCTATATTATTTGGTTGGGATTTACATTGCTTCCATAAAATATTTCGTTCGTTTATGGCTTTAATTATATTTTTATTTACCCAATCAGTTTTTGGTGGATTTATAATTTTTATTTTTCGAATTTTGCTGTCTTTAATGTTATTAATTATTAATTTTTCTATGTGATTATAGTCTAAAATACATTTTGAAACATCGTGCTCAACTAGCTTAAAAAGTTTTTCATAGTTGAGAGCTTCATAATGAACCTTCTGCTTTGTTTCTGGCGAGTATTGCTTTAATTCTAGATATATCTGCTTATGGTCCGACATTGCTGATTCAATAATAGCTAAGTTGAAATTATGTTCTTTTATGTTGGTGGATACGTGGTCTATTATTGTTTTGGTTGATGATGTTTCACGAGTGGAGTAGGATGAGTCCACTCGATTAAGAATGGCATATCCATTTTCATTAATCGTCTCTGTGTAATTTACTGTGGCATGATCTTTTTTGAGCAATAAATCAATATTGTAGTCTCCAAATACTATAGCTCTTTTTCTCTTTTCTAATTGAAGTGAATACTCATCAAGGAATTGATTAATTTTTGAGCGATCAGGCTTATAGATTAGTCCAACATCCAGGTTATATTTATTGATATGTATCCATAAGTAGTGTATATTCGCGATACAACAGTCCTCTATTAGACTATGGCTTAGATTGTTATGTATAAAAATTGAGACACCACCTGTAGTGTTTGTTCTAAAGTTATAGTGATGCATATATCCAGGTAAAATTAGTCTTTTTGCTTGTTCATCACTTTTGACCCATGTTTCTGTTATTACAATAATGTGAATCATATGTCTAAATGAGTTTAGGATACATTTAAGTTCATCAAACTTTCCTTGACCCACAATACTTCGAGCATTTAAGTAGAGGAATTTTAGTGAACTTTCCGTTGAATATATTTCTTTGTATGTGTTTGCAAGTTGGTAGTAAATTGTATTACTTTTTATTCTATCTGTATGTACTTGGCCATTCAGTCTTCCGACGGCGTCGCCATAATTTTGGCCAATATCCCCTGCGGTGACCGGCCATATTGGGGGATATGGAGGGACCGAAGGGTCCATTAGTGGTTGCTATTCGCAACTGAGGGAATCTTGGCATTGAGAGGAAGCCTGGCGTTTAATTAAATTTGGTTGTTGGATAACGTAATTTTTTATGTTGTAAACCTTGCTTTTCTTCGATGGCTGGTTAACAGTCTCATTTCTTTTAGCGTTGGTTCTCGACGATTCAGGAGATTCTGATGGAGTTCTCTTATTTTTATCCGTTTTTGGTTTTAAGATTTGTTGGTTTCGGTTGTTCAACCAGACTATTTTGTCATATTTAAGGATTGCCAATCTCCCTTGTTCTCTTTCCCTGTTAACTTCAATTTGTAATTGTTTTCGTGTATTAAGAACATCTGGAGGGAAGTCTTCTTTTATGTAGTATGGGGTAGAATCCAATTTTTTCTTATTTTTTTGGATATCAACTTTGAGTCCAACTGTAGAAAGCGTCAGGACTATTGGTCTGATTTTTTCTGTTCTTTTACCAAGCCTCCTAACACATTCAATGCCATTGTGATCACATTTGATTTTTAAAGTATTGTTTATTAAATCAAGAACTGTGTTTTGTAAATCGCAATAGGTTTTTTCATTTTCTTCCACTCCAAAAAAGAGCAGATTTTTCCTCCTAATTGTTCTTTCTAACTGGTTAATTTTTATAAGTTGTTGTTCCAATTTTCCTTCCAAAACTTCATTTTTGGTTTCTAGCTGTTTAAATTTTTCATTTATATTACGGTTGATAGTTTCTTTTATATCCTCTTTCATTTCCTGCATATCAGTTTTTTGCTGATTGATTGCTTCTTGCATTGCCTCTAAAATACTTTTTATTTCCTCCATATTTTATTTATTGTTATTATTTATTTTTCTAAATACTTATCTTTGTATTTTATCAGTAATTAATTACAAAAAAAAAAGAAAAAGAAAAAGAGGATCAAGACACTGACTTGAACTCGAGATTACTTGCATGAGGCAACGATTTCCGCAATCGGCTAACTGGTTAAGTATGTATCGCTTCGAAATATTGGTATAGATGCTGTTTTCTAGTGACGTTTGTCGCGAATGACTAATACATCTTCTGTTAGTCATGTAGGTATAGGTTTTCACTACTGACAAAAAATCCACAACACAATAGTGTCACAAGTCACTATAGTCACAATAATACACTTCCGAAATCACACATTTATAGAAAATATAGTCATTTTGAACGAAGTAAGTCGCGTATAAATTTATAAATTATTGTTCTGTTCACAGTTTATTTTAAGTCTTTTTTGACGGATATTGCACTAAACTATGTATGTCCTCGGTACTTTGTGTTAGTATGTAACTTTTAAACACATATTTCAACGTTATTTTCCACAAATAATATTTTTAAAAGTAATAGAAATACGGAACTTGTGTTGACACGCGCAACCCGCACTACCCACTTTAAGAGATTTATAAGTTTGAATTTGTTATTTTGTAAAATGTGGGCGCTAAAATTTCATTAATATAGATTATAGACTCTTTTTCATAAAATAAATTGTACCGTAAATGTTTGAACTAAAACTTTGTGTAGATATACTAGCATACTATACGTAACCAGTTAACATACGAAGGCATAACAGCTTGCCTCCTGAGATACGAGAAATAGTAGCAATGGACCCGTTTCGAATACGCGTGCGAATTTTTTTAAATAGATGTACTTAATGACAGCTTACGACCGCGACGGTGGCGTGATAGTTTTTACTTTTTATGTTTTTAATATTAATTTTTTTTTCATGTTAATGACATGTATGTTTTTAATGAGAATAAACTTCTTTTAACCTAACAAGTTTGCCTAGTTTATCTACACTGGCATTGAGAAAAGATTTGTTATTTAGTACCATGTTCCTTTGTATACAGGATGGCCAAAAAGTTGTGGATCAAACGTAACTAGGGGTTAGATGTGGTCATCAGCTGCAAAAAAATATTCTACGGGAGGTCCTTCAGCTCAACCCCTGCAAAGTTATAATTTATTTAGCGATTTTTGAAGTTATACTTCTTTAGGCGCGTTATGAAAAATTTATGAGAGTGAAATTTTACGATGCGCGCGCACCGTGACACAAAATTAATAGAATGAAGTTGCCCACGGAAGATGCTACGGCATTGGACATAATTTAAAAACAACATTCGAAAAATAATAGAATTTATGTTACACTTAATGTAAGAGAATAATAATAAATATTTATTTATTTAATTTTTCAAATGTAATCTGAACTTTATTGACTATAATGACTCCTTTGCCAGTCTTTGATTATTTAATTGTAATTAATTATTTGCATGCAATCAAAAACTATTTTTAATAATGCCAAAGAAGTATAACTTCTTACGCGCGTACATAAGTACACGCACCCTTTTTTTTTGTTCTAGCCTAATAGTATTCCACCTAAGCAGTAACATTGAACATTTACATCTTTTATCTTCTTTATGTTGCTCCTGTTTTGTCGTATTGTGTAAATAAAGTGGTATTATTCTATTAGAAAACTATGGTTGACCCATTCCTGCGTCTTCCCTCGGAAACTTACAGTTATTTCAGCCACATCCGTGCCATCCGGTTAGATGGAGTTAATGCAAGCTCAATATTTACCGTCTAGGTGGCGATTATTCGATAGTTTTTTTATATGTTTAAGATATATAAAGTAATAAAAACTTATGCGACAATTACCGTATACACATCTAAGATTACAATTATGCTAATAAAAAGTATTTAAATAGAAAGGTAACTATAGAAATACATTCTATGTATTATTAGTATTCTGTAAAACAATACAGTATCTTAGAAAGAAAAAAGCTGTAATGATTATTTATTTTTATTATTGCTTAATATTTTATAGATAAACTAAAAGAGAAAACACAAAAATAAATACTAAAGGGCTATACAAATTTTAAATTCCTTAGAAACTAATGATGAAAAAAAATACAATTCATACAAAAACTATATGAAAACATTACAACAAACAGAGAGAAAAAAATATTTTCATTATACCTTATTCATAAATTTACATATCTATCTAAAATTTATGGAACTAAGCAATCACATCCCAGGTTGGCCAAAAATACCTCTTATTATATGGGTTCCCTTGCAATTTAAGGTGTTATTTTAAGATTATAATTTTTTTTCAGTATAAGTGGTTCGCAGACGACTGAAAATCTCCTCACCAAACCCTGGAAACAAGAAAAGCGCCACGCGAATAAAAATAAAAGAGAGAAATTGAGACGAGTGTACGCGCACTTAGATGAACATTAAAATAAAAATATATTCCAATGTAATAAACAAACTAATTTGGAGTACTGTCAAACATCTTTGACTTTTTGCAGGAAATTTGATAGGTCTTGGAATTGGTTTGAAGCTATTTAAGTCTAGAAATCAGTTATGTTATTGTATATATAATATCTAAAATATACGGTTATCCATACAAGTGTGTGTTTTGTATTTTATATTTTAAACTCCTTAGCTAAATCTTTACACAAAATTGGCAAATTAAATTCCAGATTAATAGTAAGTTTACGTAAAATATGAATGGGTACTTTTGATTCTCTACAAAATACTATTTTCAATCGACTTTAAAACCCGAAGCAAAGCAAAGTTGTTTTTTTTATTTGTGCTATTTTACACTAATAATGCTTTGTAATATAAATGTGCAAGATATTAATAATCTGTGGCGACTACAACCTCAGATATCTGTTTCGTGATATTGTTTTCTGTGCCCGACACGCGGTTGACTTTTTGGATATTACGCTGTACGCATGCAGGTTTTTTACTCACGATTTTTTCCTTCAATGTACTAACTAGCCCCATGTGGCTTCGTAAAGCTAGAAACAGAGAAGAGAGAAAGCTCTTAGAGGAGGCCTATGTTCAAGGAAAAGCTGTACGTATAACAGAAATTAACCTTTTTAGCTTCCAATTTTATCTAACGTGAACTTTTTAAAACTACCTAATAGTTTCAGTAAGATCGTATTAAATACTGAGTATTTTGTACGTCGTGTTTTACTCAAAACAATTGCAAATAAAATGGAAATAGCTCACGCGTTATAAATCTCCCACTTAAATAAATTACACTGGTTTACGTCACTGAAAAAATAGATGTATGGTAAAGGTATTTAGGTCTTTGGCAATAAAATACTTTTGCTTGGCGAGACGAAAAATATTCTAGACCGTACTAAATTTAATAATTGTGTTTAGAATCTGTCTGTGATCACTTTGTACGGCAGAGATAAAAAAAAGTGCGTGCGTACAAAGTACCTACACATGTCGGAAGTGAATTTATACAAATCTAAAGATTTTTGAGACTTAGAGGGAGGGAAAAAGGAAGGTATGTTAGGAATTTAATTGTCATTAAAATATTAAAAGTTTGAAAATTAAAAAATAAGAACTTTTTTTAAAATTTATTTCTTCGATAATAAGAAGGCGTGGCATTTTAATTTACAATTCGTCATTTGAGATTGCAATAAATTATTTTGCATAAAATATAAAATACTAATATATCATAAATTCTCTTTACGAAATCTTAATTTTAAAAATAGAATTTCTATAAGGTAATTCGCCCTTCTCACTCTCTCTCTACGACAAAAACGTTGCACATCTTCGTGACGATCCGTAAAAATATTACCCTCAAGCGCCTAAAGAAGTCTCACTTCAAAAAATTTAATAACAATAATTACCTAAGCCTCATTTTTTCCTTGATACATTCATCGATACATACAAAAATGCTCAATCGAAATTAATCATCATCGAAAGATTCGTTTAATCAGCTAGGACTTATCGGTCGCAGCCTCATTATTCATTACATTATTCACAGGAACCGCTGCAAAAAATTATCAGGCCCTTTATACAAAAAGTCTTTACTTCATATCAAAACCTCAAATAATGTCCTTTTCCCCGTTACGGAATAATGCTTGAATGTCATCTTAATCCCGCTCACCGCCATGAACATCTCTGAAAAATCTATAAAAAAAACAGGTATATGAATTAAGAATGTTTTGTGTGACTGAGTTCAGAAATATGTGCGGAATTGTATGGCGTAACGTTGGCCCGAATCGTTTGATTTACGGGTTTGCTAATTTAAGACAAGCACTTGATGTAACGTTCACAACTGACGGGGGATTTATTCTGTGTACTACAAAACCTTAGGCACCAGTATAACAGGAACTAGAATGCCATTTTAAAAAAGAGTCCTACAACAGAAGAAAGATAGTGCTTGAAAAGATTAATAAAATTATTTTACGGAAGTCAGTGCTAAGTTTTGCGCACGAGATATTGCCTATACTATATTATTTTGCTTTACATAAATCATTATTTGCCCATATGTGTGTTTTCCAAAACTTTAGGCATGAAATATATCTGGAGAATTGTTCTGGTTTGTAGTAGCTTAATTTAGCGTGGCTCTGCCTACAATGTAACAGACTAAAGAGAATGTCTAAAACAATCTGAGAGATGAGCTGTTTTATCTTTGAATAAACATGTTGCTTTTACCACCTCGTTCTGAGTAAATGTAATGCACGTTACATGTGTGAATGCATTTTGCTGAGTGATAAAAGATTTCATAGGTTACATTTGGTCATGTTTTAACTAAACAATCAACTGTGTTTCAATATACATTTTTATAGAATATAAAATTAAAAAGCATAGTGTGAATGTTTATGCGCGCTGCCGAGAAACCCCGATTAGCCAGCAAATCAAGTGACGCAAGTGGAAATGGATAGGCCACACACTGCGACAAATTTCAAATTATATCCCCAAGCAGACGCTAGATTGGCACCTGCAAGGAAAGCGGAAGCTAGGCCAAACGAACCGTCGACAAGTTGCAGATGAGGCAAAGAGAGCTGGAAAGACTTGGAGCGAGGTGAAATACGAGGCTAAAGACCGAACGCGATGGAGACTCACCGTGGACGCCCTCTGCCCCATCTAGTTTTATACGACATTAAGTCAAGTAAGACAGTGAATGTATAACGTACGACGGAACGACGGCGCGTTCCAATTGTGATTGTTCGTTGAACAGCATCTCTAATCCAGTCAAATGTAACCTTGTAAGTTGTAACTAAAGCACTTTTAAATAGTATTTCTATTGGTTCTCTTGGGAATGTCGTACTATTTATATAATTTACCATGGTAACAGGAAATTAAAGCAGCAGTTTCTAACTTGAAAGAAATGGTCCGTATTGTATATACAATATGCAGTGAGTGAAGATGTTTTTTATAATTTCATCGGCCCCTCTTTGTTTACAGAGTAAACGTTAGAGGATTTCGGCAGGTAATAAAACTCGATTGATGTGGTAAACGATTACCGTTCTAGGTCAAAATTGTGTTGAGCTTTTCAGTAACGAAGAATCGAAGTTAGATGTTCTTCAGTGGCGTGTTTTTATACACTCAAAATTTAGAGACATAAATCTCGGATTACACTGTGATATCAATGGGTTGTAAAAGTTAGTGTCTTAAATAAAAGGCGTGCTCGTCTCATGATATTTCTTACACTGTTCCAGCCAGTGCTAAATGCGCATCATAGACAATAGCAATTGGTGCAAGGCCTGGGTTCGAACCTACGACTTGAATTAGAGTCACACGTTGAAGCCATATGGCCAACACTGCTCCACAATCATATCTAGAAAGCAAGCAACAAATAGAACACAACACATATTTTTATTGAGTCACAGTTAAGTAAGAATAATTATATTTCAATTAGCTTTTAAAAAAAGAATAATTGTAAGTGGAACAAAGTACATTATTATTTATTTTTGAATAAAGAAATAAGATACGAATTTATCTATAAACATATTAAAAACTCTTTAATTTTACATAAATAAGTTCTTCTCTTCTGCATTTCTTGATTCCACGTTGGCATCGGTGCACGTTCTCATAAAGGAGACCTTTTCACTTTGCTGTTGACATTCGACAACGCATCAGCAGCAAAGCGGAAAAAGACAAATTTATGGAGAACTTTCCTCTTCTTTCTTCAAAAATCCTTCTAAAAACGTATATCTTATAACAGTTTATAAAAAATAAAACCCTTTACAATTTAGTTAGAAACTAAGTATCTAATATACCCAATCATATTTTGTAGTTTCGATTTTTTGTTGCTTACAAAAGCATATTTCAAACATAGTATGGAGACCGTTGCGGCTCGCTTTATTTGATATAGTTTTTTACCATGTCGCCTATATCACTTTTTACGCCATATTTTTGTCTCATGCGTAACTTATATTATATTTGACTGCCCCTGAACGTAAATAAATTATTAGGTTATAGAAAAATATTTATTTATTTATTAAAGTTCACCTCATCATACATAATGCTATATCTACAGTATACGTCACTATATTTTCTAAAATACATGAAAATTACGGTAAACATAAATGTTACAAAAAATAAAAATATTACACTTCCGATTTTAGATAAATGCTTTTTCTTTAAATTGCCCACTACCGAATATAAGTAGCTCTGGATAAGTATCTAGTGTTTATTCTGTTATATTCGCGAAGAATTCGAATAAGAGCAAGAGGTGCCTGAACTCCTCTGGTTGGTTGGTTGACCAAAATTCGGCTGATTTTGAATCTTGGGAATGAGTTCGAATTAATGAAAGTTGTGCATAAAACCTTTAAATTTAAATATAAGTTTTCAGCAAAGGTTAATAAACAAATTAATTAAAAAAGAAGCAAAGAATATTTAAACTGTTAATATGTATGTACATTTTACTTCCATTCGACATCATCGTAGCTCTTTGAAAGTACATCACTTGCGGAAATCCATGTTTTGGCATTTGGCCTATTTTAAACATTGCTAATGTAAACAAATCAGTTTATGTAAACACGAGGTTGGCGTACTTACAGAACGTAACGATTTGTGTAATTTCTAATATATATTTTATTTTCAACACACAAATGTACAGTAATTACAATATTCTTAACCTACATAATAATAATTAAAAATGGATAAGTAATGCTGGCAGCATTTCCTCGCTGTATTGCGATACTTATTCGTTGAGCGAGGAACGAAGTGAAACGGGCAATAGTTTAATCAATGAAAAACTTCAGGTTAACACAAATAACGAAGATTTTCTAAATTTTTAAGACGTGCCATCTCTCTCTCTCTCTCTCTTTAATCGGCAGCTCATGTCTGAGCGTCGTGTTCAGCAAGAATACATTTGGAGCGGACAATCTGTTACCACCGGTTTCTGCTCAGCGCCTCTCTTATGAGTTATGACAGTGTACAGTTTTGAGGACGATGAGTCTTTCATTTGAGTTTAAGACGTG